ACTTACCCTTAATTCAAGTATATTTTTCTATCGAGTTAACGAATTAATCCACCATTTACTAAGAACTTGTGCAGAACATAAATCATTTTAATATATTTAAAAAATTGATTGATACGAGAAGAATGGCAAAATATTCGATATAAAATTTTAAGAGCCATAGATTATTTTAGACAACATTCATAGAATAGAAAGACTAGAAGGTGAAAGGTTATGAGAATCAATAACTACGTGTGTAATAGGATTTATGCTCGTATATCCGTGTTTATATGATTTAAGATTACATTTATTTATTAAATGTTTTTCTTCTGTTATTTATTTTAACAATTTTTCCGTGGAATATTAACTGCTTTTTTCTCTACTTATAAGGTAGATATTTGCTCAAAGAACATGCAGGTAAGACAGTATACGCTATATAAGCGTAAATTTGCATATAAGTATATAAGCTAATATATACCCAATTGAAGAATTAATTAGATTAACACAAGTTGCATTATTATTATTTTTTGTAGACAATCAGGAACTTCAGAAGGCAATTGAATCCTGAATGGCGAAATTGAGGTTTGTAAATGAAAGGTCGAACCACACTGGTGAATATTAAGCATAACAGTGTATTTTTTTATTGGATTTAGAACAATGTGATATACAAGGGTAAGAGAAGGTAGACGAGGTTTCACAAGAAGCTCCAAAATGAGTATAAATGGGGTTGATACCTCAAATCAAACTTCGACGTGCAAACTACTTAGGTGTATAGATGAAAGATGAAAACTTATGGACTATTTGTAAGGTTAGATAAAATTATAAAAAGGAATGAAATGTATTTAAACTTTTAGAAGTCACTAAATAAATAACGATTGTGCATCGCACTATTGCGCCAATGTTTCAACTATGGTTGAAGGCAAATTGACTTCAATGTTTAGGAGATCGTTTCTTCACTGACTTAGCAAGAATAACGAAGAGAGATTTAACGATTCTCATTAGGTTCATGTGAAGGAATAAATGTTTCGATAAGGATAACGCAGGGTGAAAATAATGGTTAGTTTAGGTCGTTTCTTTCGGTAACTTTGATGACATCACAATAGGTAATAAATGTGTCTGTGTGGATTTGTGTCAAATTCAACCGAGAAATTGATTGTTCAATATTTTTGCAAGTTTTGACTTAGACCATTATTAGACAAATACCTCAGAATTATCTAAACAGTTGCTTAATATTAACTTAATTCAAATATATTGCTTTTCTAATATTGTTATAGGTGGACTGAGTTAATAGTTGTTCGTACCGCTAAAATTGTTAAATATTAAATTTGTTAAAATACAAATTTGGTTTAGTTAATTGTTTTATAAAAATTACAAACTTGAACTTTAAACTTTTTTTTAAAATACATACATTAAATTAATCTTTAAGCAACGTAAACATCACCACAAGAAAGCTTTATGGAGTTTTATATTTTTACCAAATAAGAATTATAAATAATTTAAATTAGTTTATATATCAAATAAACTGAATACAATTTAATTAATTGTTTTATTAAAACGAAAGTCGTTTTTTGTAGACGTAACCTGCAAAACTGAAATTTAATTTTTTTTATAATTCAACCATTAAACTAATCTTTAAACAATAAAGCTATTACTACATAAAAACTTTATGGAATGTTTTATTTATAAAAAATAAGAATTATAACTTTTTCGACTGCAAAATAATTTGAACAACTTGTTCCATTATTTCGGCGCTTCAATTATTTAATACAAATAAATTTGGTATATTCACCGGTTAGTTTGTTTATCAAATAAATCGAATTTGATTTATTGTTGACTGGTCACTGTAGATTAAATAATCATAATAGGTTTTTTAGGTTGCAATGCACCACCACTTTTCAAATAATAAATAAATTGTTTTATAAAAACGAAAGCCGTTTTCTATTTTGTAGACGTGACCTGCAAAACTGAAATCTACTTTTTTAAAATCAAAATATTAAAATAATCTTCAAACAACGTAAACCATTATTACACAAAAACTTTAAGCGGCTCCATATTTATACCAAGTAAGAATTATAACCAGTTTTGTTGATTTAAAAATATTTTTCTGCTTTTCAATCATTTGTTACAAAATGAATATCCAGTTGGTTTGTACAATTTAAGTAATAACTCGAATAAACTAAATTGAACTACTTGAAAAGTTGGTTTGCCGTATTGATTAGAACAACTTCAATTTTCTACTGGGTAATAAATTAGTTTGCGATTGTGGGTTCTTGTCGACAAAATTCGTACTTGCGCATAAAATGCACATGTTTACCTATTTTGCGTATAAATAAATAAGTTTTTTCGTTAGATGTTGTGGTCACTCTAGTAGGCCATTAATTTAAGAATTAGCATACCTTCAGGCTGAGTAAGTTGGAATCAATATTATTGATTTCTTTAAGCATTTCACTCTATAATTTTGCAATTATTTTTTACACAATCACATCAATCGTTTGTTTTTAGTTCTTTATTGGCAATCACTTAATATTTTTATTTGTTATTATTTATTTTTTAAAATTTTAAATAGTAAACATATTACTCACCTTCAGGCACGTTTTCTTTGTGCGTTTCAATAGGTGTGACATATCCGTTCATATATTCTCCATACTTTTCATTGATGCAATGAATTATTTATTTTTTTTTTTATATAAAAATCTGACACTTGACATAAGATAAACCCGCGTTTAAAATATTTCCTGATTAACGAATTTCTCAAACATCTGATAAAGTAAATATTTCACTAAATCCGCACATATCCTTGACCAAAGCAGCAAACAATGTGCAATGATGGCGAATGTATGACTGATGGTCTTGCTACTGGCACCACTAGACTTAAAGTATTTATGCAGTGGATTTTATTGATTCTTTGGCTACTGGTAGTTGCGATGTATGAATAATAATTTATTGCAGCGCACAGGCGCAGAAATCCTCATACAATATGAGTTTGTCTTATCCTTAGTCGTAAGTGTTAAAGCACAACAAACTTAAACTTTTCTAATATTAAAGAACTTATAAAACCATTTCGGAAAATTCTATTATCTCAGGATTTTACACATGTTTACATTTTGCTTTATTAATATGCAATATGTAAACTGACCTTTCACATTACAAAAGTTAGAGAACTTTTAGAGCGGCAAATGTAAATATTCTTGATCTTGTTTTGAAAGTAGAGAATGTAGTAAAAAATAAACAAAATATATGTTTTTTAATATTTTATGAATTTTTGAAATAACAAGAATATCGTCTTAAATATTTATTAGACCAAAATTCTAAAACCGAACGAGCAGTAATTAAAAAGTTCTAAGAACATTTCAATATAAAAGTTCTTATAAAATTATTATGAGAAATAATATTTGGAAAAAAGCTTGTAAAAATAATTGTTATTCTTACAATATTAATTACTACAGATTATTAATTTTTTATTAAGTTATTGCTATTACAGATAAGCTTTTATAATACAATGATCCTAACAAAGAGTACATAATATAGATAGATTAATTAGATTATTTGAGACAATAACTATTAAGTTGTCTTATTTACTATATATTGTATTATATCATTACAACTTAATATACCGACTTCAGGAGTTTATAACACGCAATATCTACCAGATACAGCGAATGATTTTCTTGCTAAAGCGTGTCGGCTTTGGTGTTGAATGACCAGAGGCTTCGCCAGGTGAAAGTCACAATTTTTTTCGCTTCGGACTTATAAGATAAATCTCTTTTTCATCACCCATCACATTTCTATACAACAATGATTTTTTTTTTTTGTGGTGTTAAAGATATCACAAGCAACTTTGCGATTTTCCATTTGACTCAGGCATGCTGCCCACAATTTTTCTCTTCGGATTTTTAAGATAAATACATTTTTCGTCACCCATCACACTTCGAAACAAAAATGATTTTCGTGGTGCTGAAGGAATATTTCACAAGCATATTTGCGCTTTTCCATTTAACTCAGTAATTCTGGCCATCAAACAAATTTCGTTGAACAAATTATAGAATTCAGTTAATTGCAAAACTTTGTAACATTGGCGTACACAGGATTGTGCCAGAGGTAATGTACTAGAATATATATTTTTTGGCAGTGTTTTTGCAGTTAAGTTATTGTTTACCTTATGTATTATATTGTCAGGGGAACGAAAATCTAACTCCAAATCTTCTACTTGAATACCCCACTGCTGTGTATGTAGGAATACAGCACTGGACATATGCACTCAGGTCAATAAACTTTGATATATATATATATATATCAAACGAAAAGAAATATTTTAGAAGTAACAATATCACACCATGCCTTATATGATATATTGGGTTATATAGTCGTTAAGGGCAAACGATTACCTTCAATGAGAAAACTTAAGCTCTATTTAATATTCGTAAACACAGGTAACATTCACCGAGAGTGAGAGTTGGTGACATTGTGATAATTGGGAGGACAGCATTAGAAGTAAAATAAGTAGTTGCGCTAAAACACTGCACTGCTTACAACAACTTTTCAAACACAACAACCTTAGCGCGAAAAACAGAAAGCTGATCTATAGCCAGATAATTAGACCAGCACTATTTTATGGGTGTGTCGCGTATAGCAAAGTTGTCGACTCTACTATCCAAAAGTTACAAGTTGGTCAAAGTCATGCTCTCCGAAGGCTCTTCAACGTGCCATCCGCACGAATGACATGCTAAGAGACCTTAGAATAGATACGGTCAAAAAATACATAAGAGACAGAGCTTTGAAGCTATATGCGAAAACCGACAGGCTGCCATACTTAGCACTATCTAAGCTCAGAGATATCACTAATCGCACGGGGCAGTACGCAGATCCTAGATCAAATATTGAATAATAACAAAGATTATGAGGAATACTCAAATTAGTCAGTGA